CCCCCCAGTGCTAGCTTGGAACAAACAGTTCAGCCTTTGTCTTTTGACACAGATAAAGCACCTGTAAGCAATGCTCTGTCCAACTGTTTTATGTGCTGATTTCTCAAATCTGCAATAATTTACTTCATCAGGTTAATGTTTTTACCTGAATATAAATAAAAAAGTTTGCTTCACCTTTTTGTTCATAGTTTTGTACTGTACGCATAAAGTTCAATTGTGTAAATTACTGTAATGCAAGTAAATCATCTTAAAATCTACTTGGCTAACAGCCTGCAACTTGTGGATGATTTACTACTAAAACAAGACCTTTTAAGACCTCCAACTTAGAGGGAAATTTTTTTCTTTCTGTGGGTTCAAAAAACGGGTGATTACAAATATTCCCGAGATCTCTATGAAAATGTGATAGTTACTTTTATTCAACTTTGAGAAATCAAAATTCATTTCAGTGCTTAGAAATTGTTAAATTCTGGCTAATCAGGCTAGTGTTTCCCCTAAACTAACAATAACAAGTTTTCTTTTATCTAGCTGAAGAACTTGTACTTCCAGAATATGTGTTTCAGTACATGTAATGGACATTCTTCCAGTGAACATTCACAGAATTACATGTGGTTGCTCATACCAGTGCCACTGAAATGTAATGCAAATCTGTCATGAGCATGAGTAGAATGTGAAATCCTTGCACAAAGAACCTGATAACTGAACAGCTTCTACTACCGTATTAAAACTGAAAGAAGGTGCTTCACACTGTACATATAATAATGGTAGTGCACAGTGCGGCATAGTTTTCATAAAACTTCAAGGCAGTGTTTAAACTATGGACTGGTGTTTAAATTGTTCTGATAACTTGATCAAACTGAGCACAAAAAAGTGTTTATAGTGTGTGGATAGCAATTTGTTCATTTTTTAAGGTTCTATATTTTAAAAAAACTGACTTGTGTAAAAAAAAAAAAGAAAAAAGCTAATATTTTGTATTAAAATATCATGTGTATTGATATTTTTTTACCCATGTTGTCTCCCTCTAGAATCTGGCTTTCATTGACTTTGAAATTTTGAGGAGTTTTCAAATTTGATATATAGCCATTGTATAACTCTGTTTCAGTGGGAAAATAAGTTGTTGGTTGCCTGTTTAAAAAGGAAGGAAAAAACAAGTACCTGTGGTGGCAATTGATTTTTGTTGTGCTGGCTGTCATTTTCAGCACAGACCAAGGATGTAGTTGGCCTGAAAAGGGAATTAAACCCTTTTGGGTGACGCTTTCTCTTTTTCTTTTTTTTTTTTTTTTTTTTTTTTTTTTTTCCCCTACCAAGGGCGGCTTTTAGTGTATTAGAAGAGCAGTCTGGCTTAAAAGGTAAAGATCATAAATTTAAGAATAAATTGAAGAGTCACAGTTCGCACGACTGCAATACTTTTGTACAAGCAGAACTATAGTATCTAAAGAGTAGTTGAGAACAAGTGGAGGGGTGGGGCAAGATCTTAGGGGGGGATTCCTCCTTTTCAGGAACTTTGGTTTAAGGGAAAAACTCACTAAAATCAATCGTAGATGTGTGCAGATGTAAGTTGAGGACTATGTAGCGCTCAGGAGAACGTGTAGTTGTCTTAGTACTGAACTGTTTTGTATCTCTTTAAGGTATAATAAAAGGTACACTAAAAAGTCTCATTTTTGAAAATAGAGGCTTTTTTTTAACATCGCAAGTTCAACTGGTTTTAGAGAAAACCAGCCATCAGTTACAATTTTGGATGAGTTTTGTGTCCTGAATTAACAAGAGCAGTGAGAAAATCAGTCATGGAAAAAAGTGCTGTCCAAGCACTGGTAGCTGCTACTGAACTTGTGCAGTGATTTTTTTTTTTTTTTTTTTTGGTTTTTTTTTTTTTTTTTTTTTAAATGTTTGCATTTATTTTGCTGTAGGGAACACACTTAAGTAGTATCACAGCTGACATGAATTAGTAAGCTGTAGTGCTGCTTTACTTCACATTTTGTAGGAAAATGTCGAAGAATTAATTCTGTGTAAAAAAATCCCCGTGCCCGTTGCCAAACTTGATCTGATATTGAAGTTTTCATATGCAGACTGCTCATGTAATTTAATTGCCTAGATTCTTCCTTCTTTCCCTGTGTGTGGGTTTTGGGGGTTTGGTTGGTTGGTTTGTTTAGTGGGTTTTTTTCCCCCGTCTCCTTTCCCCTACTGAGCTCTCCTGCTGAGAAGGTGGGTGCCTAAGGGCAGGGACTGATGAAATCCCAAGTGCCTGCCATCGCTTGTGCCCTCTTCTCTGGCCACTGCTGGAGGTATGTCTGTCGTCTTACAGAGTTTCTGGGCCCTGCCCCCCCTGTCTTCAGCAACCTGTCTTCAAATGAGTAATACCAGTTCCCAGCATCCGAGAAGCCTGTACCTCTGCAGAGGCCTTTCTCACAGGAAATGAAAGCCTACCTGACTTCAGGGATGATGCCTTGGTTTTGATGTGAACATGCCTCCCCTAGGTCAAAATGCTTTTCTATAGCTAAAACTGTTGGCAGAATGGGGAACAATAAAAAGCTTTGCTCAGATGGATTACAATAAAGTGTGGAAGGGGTGGGGAAATCTTCCTGGTAGTTGAGGCTTTTCAGGGCTTTTTGTGTCTCTTCCTCTACTTTTCTAGTCTCTTGATAGCTTGAACTAGAAAACCTCTATGCCATGTGATCTGTTTCTGTGATCTTGCAGGAATTTCACAGCTTCGTGTTCACAGCTTGCTGTATCTCTCCCAATGCACTGTGTTTTTAATAGCTTTTTCTCCTGAGTGTAGTCAGTTGCCCCAAGAGTAGCAGTAGTCGCCCCACCCCAGTGCCCTCAGCCCAACAGTGTAAGCTGCAGTCGCATGTATTTAACAGAACATTAATGCATGTTTGTACAGCAAATAGGAAACAAATTTCATAGCTCTACTGCCTATGACTAACAGTGAATAGCTCAAGGAGTAACTGCTTCAGTGGACTGGGGTAGAAGATGCCTTTAGAGGAATACTACGTCCTTGTCTCCTGGTAGTGAAATGTGCACGTATTGATCGGACATCAGGCTGCTTTAGGGATAGAGGAGCAACAGGTCTTGGGTCTCTCTTCCTTTGCTGTGTGTGCCTGGGGTGTCACGAAATCTTGAACCATAAACAGGAGAACTAAGTGGAGGGGAAACAATGAAGATGCATCTGGTATTTTCAAGGCACTAGATTGAAATTCCTGATAGCTCTAAGTCTAGTTTGGCAGCAACTTCTGCAAAACTGGTTCAAGGAGGAAAAGAAAAACCAAAAAACCAAACCAACACCCTAATAGGAGTAGTAGGAGAGATGAAAGTGTGTGATGCCCACCCCCCC